GTTTCATTGGATACAATAACCTTGACTCCTTGAATCGAACCCAGGCCTCCCGATCACGAAGCGAACGCTCTACCATAAGGCTACCATGACAATCTTTGTGTACCAAAATATTAAATTTGCATTTTAAGAAAAGATAAATCCTCGATATGTTGCCAAAGTGTTTCACAAACACGTCTTGTTTTAAAAGGAAAGCCGGGCAATGGTATATCATTTTTGTTTTCTTGTGTAGCCTAGATTCATACATGTTTTAATCATGAACCACAGAGGAAGAGTCTGGCCTAAATCAGTAATGAAATTGCATATGAATAAATCAAAAAGTGATTTGAAATCTTCTTCTTAAAACAAGAAGGTCATGAGTACTCATTTTTAGCTCACCTTAACCGAAGGCTCAAGTGAGCTTTTCTGATCAAAATTTGTCCGTTGTCTGTCGTCGTCGACCATGTTGTAGTCGTCGTTGTTGTCGTCGTAAACTTTTTACATTTTCATCTTCTTCTCAAGAATCACGGGGCCAATTTCAACCAAACATGCTTCAACATATCCTTGGGTAAAGGGGATTCAAGTTTGTTCAAATGAAGGGCCATGCCCTTTTCCAAGGGGAGATAATTAAGAATTAGAGAAAAATTAATGGCATTTAAAAAAAAACCATATTCTTCTCAAGAACCACTGGGCCAGGAAAGATGAAAGATGTGGAATCATCAGGTAGTGTAGATTTAAATTTGTTAAATCATGACTCCTGGGAGGGGGGGCAAAATGGCCGATCAAAGTTTAACATAGGTATATATAGGAAAAATCTTTAAATATCTTCTTCTCAAGAACCATTGAGCTGGGAAAGATGAAACTCATGTGGAATCATCCTCAGGTAGTGTAGATTCAAGTTTGTTCAAATCATGACCCCGAGGGTAGGATGGGACCAATATGGCCGATCAATGTTTTCCATAGGAATATATAGGAAAAATCTTAAAAAATCTTCTCAAGAACCATTAAGACAGGAAAGATGAAACTCATGTGAAATTATCCTCAGGTAGTGTAGATTCAAGTTTGTTCATATAATGACCCCAAGGGGCTAGGGTGGGGCCAAAATTGCCGATAAACGTTTAACATAGGAATATATAGGGAAACCTTTTCATTTTTCTTTTCAAGTATTTCAAAGTCATGATTAGTAATATTTATATGGAGTCATCCTCAGGTAGTGTAGATTCAGATGTGTTCAAATCATGACCCCTGGGGCTATGATGGGGCCATAATGGTCATTAAAAGTTTAACATAGGAATATATAGGAAAAATCTTTTAAAAATTTTCTTCTCAAGAACCACTGGGCCAGGAAGGATGAAACTCATGTGGAATTATCCTCAGGTAGTGTACATTCAAAATTATAATTCTTGCCTTTTTTTAACATAAGATAAACTCCACGAACCCAATTCAATCGAATAATGAGATGTATCGTGAAGACCCCGAAGAGAAAGACAAGGTACACTGTATTGTGCACGTTTTTGCAGCAGACGTAAAAGAATTCGTACACAAGAAGGTTGAAGGACAATTAAAGAAAATCAAAAATGAGTTTAGAGAAGGTATTTAATCAAAGAAATGTACTTAGTTTGATACCACTCTTTCTCTCTCTTAACAATACTGTGATCGGTTCCTTTCAAAAGGGCTGTGATTTTCAAATGTTAAATTGACTGTCACTGTTATGCCATGCCATGTAATGATATTTGTAGATTACATAATAAATAATATGTTTTAATGTTAAGAGGGATAAAGTTGGGATCCATATAAATGTTTCAAAACGAAATTGCAATTGAAATTTCAAACAATATTCTGAAAACAAATACAAATATATTTAATTTATTTAACCATTTTTCATTTTTTAAAAATACTTTAACGAAATGATCGAGGTTTAAACAGCTGTATACATTTTTAAAAAAGAAAATTTACCATATACCAAATGAATTAGCTTTAAAACCAAACAAATAGCTAGGAATTTTAATTGTTGAAAATACGAGGGTTGTCCCAAAATTCGTAGAAAATATAGTTGTTGAAAATGGCATCTCAGTTCTACGAAGGTTGTCGCAAAAAGTCGTAGAAAATGTATAACTTTGTTAACATGCAACCAACACTAACCCAAATTTTGCATAGTCTTAATATATTTTTTCAAAGTTGATTTGGTCCCAAATTAAACGCACTTTGAAAGAAAAATTTCAAAGTTCCTTGATTTTGTCCCAATTTTAAGGCACTTTAAAAAAAATTCAAAGTGCGTAATTTTTTCAAAGTGCGTTGCACCACTGCTTTTTTATGTATTTTTTTTCCTTTTCATAGATATTCCTCAGGTTATACTGTTGACAAAAGTCGATCGCTTAGGAATTGCGGATATTACTCAGATGTTCAGACACAAGATGGTAAAAGAGTACTGCATGAAGGCGGCAGCCATCCTGGATCTATGTGAGAACGATGTTCTCCCCCAGGTTAGCTACAGCGATGAAATGGTCCCATCTGTTTACAAGGATTTGGTTACTCTGTTTAACATCAAAACAATAATGGAGAGAGCAAACGATCGCGTAAATGGACAAATTATCCCCAATGACAATTCAGCAAATGATTAGCCTTTTGCTAACAACTTCGACAATAACGATTTAAAGTAGCAGCATACAACCTAAAGAATTGTAATTTTGAAAAAAAAAAATGGAAATGAAACTGAACTTATTTTATGATATGAGATTTTATGATAATTATTTAGCACTTTCTTTTATTTATTTCTTATGTGTAATCAGCAAAAGAAAGGCATGAAGTATGTGCTGAAAGGTGTGCAATCTGGTCAACTCCCTTTGAGAGATGACATCTCAAACCACCACTATGACCACAATCCATCTATTCAGTTAGAAAAAGTTTGAGTAAGAACTGCGTTTAGTTTTCACATATTTTTCAGAAAAGAAAATTGTACTTGATACTAAATAAATTTGAAAAATACGAGAAAGTTATACAGAACGAATGTGTAAATGTCCTATAATTTATAGTTCAATATGATAACGTGTTAAGTGATTTTTTTTAAACATACCACAGGCACTTGTTTCGGGAATAGATTTTAATTCATAGCATAGTGTGTATTATTATACTATGGATCAAATATTTATTACAGAAATAAGTGCCTGTGCATTATATTATTAAATAATAATAAAGCAATTAGTTTTCATATTTTTTCTCAGGAAAGAAAATTGTACTTGATGCTACATAATTTTTCAGTTTGAAAATACGAGAAAGTTATATAGAACGCATGTGTAAATGTTCTATAATATAGAGATCAATATAATTACAAATTAAGGTATTACATGTATAACAAGCACTACTAGAGAATGGAATAATACTGCATATTTTCTCATGAAGACAATTTGAATGTTTTAATTCCAAGTTTTTATTAAATTTTGTCCAGGCGTATTTGAAAAATGGAGCATTTTCAAACCATACCCTCCTGGGTAGAAACAGTGAAGGGGCTGTTATACTATAACAAAAATTTTTATTTCTTAATTTCACTTTAATACAAAGTTTTCACTGTGAATGAACAAGCATTTCATAGGTGATTAATAAAAAAACAATTCATTATTAAAAATTATCATTTATTAATATTATTTCTGGTTTACTGACCTTATTCAATGGTAAGCATGCATTCCAGACAAACAACTTCATTTTAATTTTTTTTAAATCCCAGTGTGCTTTGGGCTACAATTAACATCAACAGAAATTGACTCTAATGATTACTTTCCATAAAAAATTTTTTAAAAAATATTTTGAAATTATCAAGCAATTATTACCCCTACCCCCTATATCATCGTTCAATTAGCAGAGACAGGTATGTAACTTATCTTCTTATACACTTACTTCTGTAAGATTATATTTATATTTTGATACCATTTTAATAGGCATGCAAAAATGAGTCTCTTGGCCTATTTTACAATGACCTTGACCTTTTAACCTTGAAAAAAATGTAAGATTTACCTAATAACAGCAAAAAACATTGTATATATTTTAATAAAATTAGAATTAGATTATCTAACCAAAATATTTTCACTACAATAATTCCCACTGATTGATACAAACATCTGTGTTTAGACTTTTACAAATTTGAGCCTCATTCAACATCCTTGCAGTCCAAATATACCTGCAGTGCTAGGTCAAAAACATCTCACCTTGAACTTTTAGAATCCTGGAGTAAACCTTTTTACAATACAATCAGTATACAATTATTAACTTTTGATGAGGTCTTCTCATGAGTATACTGACCTGATCAGGTATTTGTTGACCGAGGCCAAAAACTGAGGGTAATCAATACCTTACAAGATCCATATACTAACAAAAAGACCAAATTCAAACATCAATAACTGTTTATCAAATCAGGAGTTTTACAACATTTTTGAATCTATAATTCTTGTCTTCAACACATATAAACACTTTTAATGTAAATTTTAGTGTATGCAATGAATACGTGAAGCGGCACTGTGACACACAATGAGGGAAATTGACAAATGTAGAATTTTTGCATGCTCCAGTTGAATGTTGTTTACAAGTTTGAGCTAAAAATAAAAGTTGCGTGACCTTGACAAACACAAAAACAATGAAACAGTAGACACAACCTTTGTTTTTCCGGCACTTATATCATGAATCGTCATATCTTAGCTATTTCTCTATTTTAACACTAACCTAGCATAAATGTACATGGTTTTGTTTATCTAACACAATTTAGAATCACAACTAGAAAAAAAAAACTTTCTAATGTTGGGATGATTTCCTCAAGGGTTTTCTTGACGTTTGTAACACGTGGTTGACCTTCACGATTTTTACACGAAAATATATATTCCTTAGCACATCCTCTCCATCGCATTCAAATATTTTCTTCAAATGACCCAGATTTAGTCCAGAGCCGGCCACCTTTTCTGCCGTACTTATTTTAAGGATTTCTTTACCAACAAGCAAATGCAAAGATGAAACGTTCTTTGCTTTTTCTCTGTTGAACTTTATTTGATTGATAACAGCAGCTGGTTGGAAACTCTGAATACACATTTTGTGTGGAAAATCAGCTTTCCTAGGACCTTCACAACCTCCATAGCATTGTGGGCATCACATGGGGTGTTTAAGATTGTCCTGGACAATTCTTCTTGCTTGTACGACTGGGAAGTGAAGGCCTTCTTAAATATACTGAGACTGTCTATACATCCTATCACACAGTCTAAAAATTCTGCCTCGCTTTTTATGTTCATCATTGCATTCATTAATATCGGAAAATCAAATTTTCGTCCATTGTGGGCAATCAAATACACACTAGCATATCTCTTTAGCCATTTGCAGAATTTATCAATGGAAGAAGAAAGATCTTCTGCATGAACCTGTTGACCATGGACTGTCGTTGTCCCACTATTGTTGACAATTATCCCGGCTATCTGCTGTGCAGTGGAAGCAATTGGCACCTTTGGGTAAACGTAAGCAGAAAACTCTGACACCGATCCCACGACTGATGCAGCAATTTGTGTGATATGTGGATATTTCCCTCCACGCACTGAAATATACAAATGTTTGTTAGTTGATAAATACTGATTAACATATTAACATGTACTAGTAGTTATCTTCTTGCTGCAATTTATAATTTACTCAAGTCAGTTGTCTCCAAGTCAATGAAATGAAGGTAGCATTTCCCCTGCAGGCACAGGTTTGCAGTTTCCTTGAGGCACTGCTTCTGGGAAGTGCTCGACATCAGCATCAACAGTAAGCCCGATACCTGCATAAGATTAGTAAAAATAATTGTTAAAAACTAAAATGTTAAACAAAGCATAATATTCCATGATTTAATATAAAGTTCCAAGACTGATATTTGTTTTAAATTCTACAATTTCATAAAAATAAGAATAAAAGTAGAATATTTATTTAAAATTAAAGAAAAATACCTGACTGATATGAAGCTCCCTCCAATGCTTCATTAGCACCTTGGGTGACCGCTCGCTCTTGTTTAAGCATCAAACGTCGTCTCTTGGTTGAGGGCAATCAGGACTTTTCTTGAACTTTTTCTCTGTGCCTCATCGTCTGCTCAGCATAAGCTGTGGTATTTTTCCCATGATACAGACCAGCTTCCTTGTGAACCTACATATTCATGAATATTATTTTAATAAATAAATATCCTTTTTGAATAGTGACAAAATAAATAATTTTATTCACAAAATTTTATTATGAATTATAACAAACTATTTGAAAAAACAAAGTATATTTCATGCATGTACTTACAGCTCTATGGCTTCCATTTCTTTATTGCAATACATATGTCTTTAAAAAGATAAACAAAACAAAACAATAAAGTAAAAGTGTTGTACAAAAGTGAACACAAACAGAAATGCATTAAGTATGCAATTGCAAAAAACAAAGGAGAAAGATCATTCTTCCTGTCATTCAAGATTCTGTGGGTTTAAACGGAAACCAGAGGGGAAAAAAATTATGTCATTGTATTTATAATTCATTTATATATTTTTTTTTCTTTTTAGCTGAATGTTCATTGATATTAATATTTCACTTTTTTTCTATGTAATTAGTTTTTTATTGGCAATACAGTGTACATGTAAGTAGGTAATGCAATTAAACTAAACTGAAGAAAAATATTCCAAGCCAGGTGAATTTGAAGAGGAGGAACAAAATGAGAAAAAATTAGCAATATCACATAGGCTGATTTTCTCAATTTAGCTTTTCCTAATAAAATTCACCTGGCTTGGTATATTTTTCTTCAGTTTATATTACACTTTTAGCACCAAGATAATATATTATGAAATTTGTTTTCACCTGTAAACCTTTACTGAATGTGATTTGTCTATATTTGTTTTTTCATTAAAATATTAGTAATATTTTCCAAGTGTTTTTCATATTCCATTTCTTAGGAGAACAAAATCTAAGAACCATCCACTTCTCTAAACTTGTGACATGATATTTAATCTTTTTCAAAGAAAAAAATTGTTTGTATCATCTGTCCTTAAACATCTTTTCCATTTATAAACATAATATAATGAGACAAAATAAACATTAAGTTAAAAAAAAACACCTTTCAATATATCGATATATCATATACTGAGACAAATTATTAACTAGAGGTACTGTGAGCAATGAGCTCACTAAATGATACCCCCCGCCTTCCATATGAATATAATGGCAGTGTCCATGTTTTGCTCTGGAAAATCCAAAATGTATGTCAGATCAAAAAGTAAAATAAGAGGTACACAATGATAATATGTAATAAAGATTCTTTGAAACTTTCATTAAATTTCCTTCTGTGGTATGAGTGGAGTTGCGGATAAGAGATGGGTACCCCCAAAGCATAACAGACGGACGGACAGACATACCGATTACTTTATACCCTCCCAATTTTCAAGTGAGGTTATAAAAACAGTCACTAAAGCGCTTACAAGTATCAAGTAGGAAAAGACCTCTATGCATTATAATTAAGCACATCAATTTCATAGTAATTTGTTTCGATAGACCCATAAACATGCATAACATTTTATTTACATGTACTTATTTTATTCTATTTATAGATATTGGATGCAAATTTTGTCAATTATAAAAAGTCATTTTTATATACATTTTTTAAGTTCTTATGATGAATCATATGGAGATAAGGAACTGTATACAAAATCTTAAGTCCACAAAACAATACAAAATAGGAAAAAGAGCAAACACGAACCTACATATAATCAAAGTTGGGATCAGATGCGATGGAGGAGTAAGCATCCCCTTTGGACCGGTCATACCAACTATGTGCTCCTTGTCATGATCGGGAAATAACGGAAAATTTGTCGTCAGTTCAGTGTATAAATAATGGACTAACAATTAGTATGCAAAACGTCAATTTGCATTTGAGTCAATGATAAATTGTATTTGCTGACAAGGTCATTGTATCGACCATAGAACTTAAGGTCATTGTATCGAACATAGAACTTATGAATTGATGACTATAAACGAAACTGCTGATATTCTTGCTTCATCAAATTGTTTGTCAATAATTTATCTCGTTTTAAAGATTGTTCATACGTATGGAGCATGATCTGGCTTACCAAATCAGCTGAATTGTATAAACTCTGTATGCAGGTGATGCTCACTCCTCAATGGCAACTGATCCCACCTCTGATGATGTGGAGGTCCGTGTTTGCTCTGCTCCTATTTTATAGTGTTTATAGGACTTTGATATTGTATACTGTTCGTTTTCTCCATATCCATCTGGGACAGAAAAAAGACGCATGTTTAATCTGTGATACTGCAACATACCCAAATCAAAAAAGTTTGACCTAGATAAACTATAAACAATCAATATTGTTTACTATGAAACACTAAGTGTAAGCTTGGTATTTATATATTGCAACTGCCCTCTCTGGTGTCAAAGTTGTAGTTTCCCTCACAAACAGACATACAGACACGTTATAATATACTCGATTAAATGTTTAAATAAAATTAACCATATCTTAACAGATTGCAAAATTAGCCAAGTCATTACTATTTAAGTGTGTGTTGCATTGCGAACCACAACCATATTTCAGTATAATATTACTGTACATATATGTAATCAATAACCAAAGTATGGTTTTGGTTCAGAATGCAACACATGGTGTACTAGAAGTTTAAACATCATAACCCTCCGACATTTTCCCATATGCCCAATTTTAAAGCGGTTGAGGGTACCATATACTTTGGCCGATAATTCCAATTTTATCCTAATTTTTTCCCCTGCAAAAATATACATGGCACACAATTAGACATGTTGAAAATAATGAAAGTAAGTTTAAAATTGTGTGCAGCCTAATTTCATTTATCGCAAAAAACATGGGCCAAAAAAGAGCCTTATCGAAATATCTCCTTTATTGATTTAGATTCATAAAGAATACAATGCCAAATCATATACATGTACATGTACACCATTCAGAGGAGCAATTGTGTATTTGAGAGGATAAAAAATATGCTTCAGTTAAAAAATTCTAGAGAGTAACACTCTAAATTATATATATTAATCTTAATAGTATATCAATATATAGGATTACCAATGCTACCAAAATAAATTCAGGTCTTACAAGTTAAGACTGTCAAATCCCCTTTTGTGCCATGCTGTGTCAGCAGCTGCTGACATTTCCTGAAGCGTCTTACAAGGATAACTGAGCTTCACAACTTTCTTGCCTTTAACTTTATCAACTTTCTTCATAAATTTTTCAGATCTTGAGGGAGCACCGGGAGTTTGTAAAACACGCTTCTCCAGGTGTGTAGGATTACAAGGAGTTTTGGGACTGTAATTAGAAATAACATGTTCTTTGTCAACAAGTTAAGACATTACAAAGCAGTGAATATTTTTAAAAATTGCATCTGACATTACTACTATCACACTTCTGAGTGAAAACACCTGGTCTTTTCTGGCCCAGGTTATTAAGGTGTGACTTAATGTTTTTCAATTTAAAAAATATAACTGCATGATAATGTACGTATGTATCAGTGGTTCAAGCTTAGAGGTTTTGAATATTTAATGAAGGTTTGTGTTATCCAGAGTACATTTGAGGTTCATAAATTATAATTCCATGCAAGTTACTTGTTAATCTAATTTCATTAATTTAATTATATATTTATTATTCTAAGAACAATTACCGTTCGTCAGGAATTGGAGTTGATAAAGTTTGTCTTGGAGTACTTGCATTACGGGTCGATAGGTCTTCGGGTCTACATGTCAACGGTTTCTACAGATCTACGGGTCTACAGGTCTATGGGTCTACAAGTCGACAGGTCCACAGGTCTACAGATCGACAGGTCAACAGGTCTACGGGTCTACAAGTCTACAGGTCGACAGGTCTACGGGTCAACAGGTCGTCAGGGTATCAAGGTCACAATAAATATGATTATACGTGTTAAGAAACAAGGGTTTCAATGTTTCCTAGATATTATAGTATTAAAAATTCAGATGTATGATAATATTTTTTTTAACAATATACGAATTTTTTGACAAGTCTATTTGTAAATGAGGTAACAGATAAAAGTAAAAATTATATGAGATGTGTAAATGTTATTCAATTTCAATGAATAATAATAAGTGATTGGGTTTCTAAGGTGATTGGGAAGAATGTGAAATAGTTTAATATAAAATGTTAATATTAGCGGGTGCTATATAAAGATGTAGACCTGTCGACGTAGAGCTGTTGACCTGTAGACCCGTAGACCTGTAGACCTGTCGACCCGTAGACTTTCGTTAGATATTAGAGTGCTAATAAACATTTATATTCATATAAGTTTGCATTTTTATGTATTCATATACATAATACTTATGAATATTTATGAATGCAATAAATTTAGTTTAATGCAAAAATAAATATGATATTTAATATTTTTTATTTCAAATTACTATTACAGTTAAAAGGAGTATTCACTCCTATTTCAATATGAGCGAATCCACAGGAACTACATATCCGTATACTATACTTGACCCGCCATGGCCTTGTGTTCCTTGTCATACTCGGGAAGAAGAATATGGAAATAACGAACAGTATTCAATCTCAACGTCCATTAAACAATATACAAAATAAGAGCAGAGTAAACACGGACCTCCGAAACATCAGAGGTGGGATCAGGTGCCATGGAGGAGTGAGCATCCCCTGCCGACCGGTCACACCCGCCGTGTGCTCGTTGTCATGATCAGGAAATAACGGAAAAAAATCCGTCGTCAATTCAGTTTATAAATAATGGACTAACAATTGGTATGAAAAACGTCAGTCAGCATTTCACTTAATGATAAATTGTATTTGCTGACAAGGTCATTGTATCGACCAGAGAATTTACGAAATGATGATTTTAAACGAGACTGTTGATATTCTTGTTTCATCAACTTGCTTGTCAATAATTTGCCTCGTTTAAGAAATTGTTCATACGTAGAGCATGTTCTTGCGTATCGAATCAACTAAAATATATATACACCGTATGCAGGTGATGAAGGTATATTGCTGCATAAGTAAGGGAAGTTGACGATAGAAAAGTTAAAGTCATCACGTTTATCATATAGCTTGGTTGTTAAATTACCATTAGTGTCTTTTTCAAGTAAAATATCCAAGTATGAAGCAGAAGTGTCGGACTCTGTGGTATCTTTTATCTCAAGCTCACCAGGATATATCGTGTCGACGTAGGAATGGAAATTATCATTATTAAATAATTGGAAAATCCGTCGTCAATTCAGTATATTAATAATGGACTAACTAAAAGTATGAAAAACGTCAGTCAGCATTTGCCTCGATGATAAATTGTATTTGCGGACAAGGGCATTGTATCGACCATAGAACTTTTTTTTTATATTTTTAAATTTTTTTTTATATTTTAAACAAGACTGCTGTTAATCTTGTTTCATAAACTTATTTGTCAATAATTTACCTCGTTTTATAAAATAATCATACGTAGAGAATACTATTGCATGTCGAATTAACTCAGATATATACACTCAGTATGCAGGTGATGATGGTATATTACTGCTTAAGGGGGATGTACAAGCCAATTGGATCTAGTCTGGTGTGAAATAAGAAATGCCAAGAATGCGCCTAATACTCGTCTAAACTAGCCCAAAGTAACTCAAAGTGTTAATGCACTAGTTACCTACTGTTAGAGACCAAAATTAGTAAATAATTAAGTTTATTTTGTTTTAATTAGGAGGAAATTAATCATTGTAGAACTGCGCAGCTACAGCATTCACGAGATAAAAAATGCATTGAAAATGGTGTTAGTGTGATTCATTGATAATATGGCTACAACCATTTGTTTCGCTTTTTTCTTGTCATTATCTAGAATTCTTGAAAATTTGATTTTTCATATGTGTGTCTTCCTGAGGCCATGTGTTTATTTCGTCCGCCATTCCTCTGTCACACAGAGTTCGAATAACATTGATTTTAGAATAAATGCGACCATAAAAACATCAAGACAAGAAATTACTAAGTAATAATCATTAGGTAATATTACTTACTACTTTTATTTGTTGCATCGCTTCGTCTGATTAATGAAAAAACGCGATTTTAACCCCACTCCAGCAAATCGGGAAAAACTGTTCTGCTCACAGCTCCAGTTTCCTAGTAAATATTTATACACTGGGCACGTGTTTGACATGTGCATATATCTGCTGTGGATTGATGCGTTTATTACTACGATTATATTTAATTTTTCTTGGAACAAGTCTTGATAATTTGTTGGTTTCTTTAAAACTCAAGAAAAAAGCTAAAAAAATGCCCTAAACATATGTGTTTACGTCGGGTCTTTTTTTCTGTGGCGATAGAAGTTATTTTCAAATGGGGCACTGCAAGGAGGATGCTAAGCATTTAATTTGAAAATGTTAAACAATATGCGGTGCATGAAAAACAAATTGCAATTACATGTCTTACAATCGAAAAGTTGGTACATATGTCTATTTTGTTTAGCAGTTAGATAGAAAAAATAGGCAGTTAAAGGATTTCCTTCAGGCACCTCACATAAATAGCTTGATTGTTTGCAATGACCAACACATCGTATGGAGTAATGTTTGGACATAAAAACGCATCATGTTTCATTATGTTGGCTACGTTGTAAGCTCTCGATCATTGAACATACGAAGCTTGATAAAATATATAGAGTTGTTTTTTTTTAAATTTAGAAGCAATAACAATGTTTGCAAACAAAGGTCCATTGCATATGCTATGTCTATCATCGCAAAAAAAGGAGAGACTACCCCTCCCCCCTTCCGAAAATCCTATGTTCTTTTTTTCAAAATAGTGCCAAAGATTAAAAAAATTGCATTACTAAGTATGTGATGGAACATGTACTAGCCTTATAAGACCATTTGTTGTAAAAATATTTGGTTGCCCTCTCTCCCGATCTACTGAATAAAAATGGCCCGACTCAATTTTATTTTACATCCAATTACAGGATTTTTTTTCTCCCGTCAACAAATATGTTTAAATTTTAAGGATTTTTTCTCACACCATAAATACGGACCCAATAATTTTCCCTGAGTTGGGAGGTCCACCAAACGTCATTTTAAAGATGGTATAAATAATAATTTTGTTGATTTTTTTTCTTTACTCTGTAAAATTGTAATTTTGACAAAATGGGCAAATAGAAAAAAAAAATATTCATTAAATCTCCTAACCCACTATGAATGATTTTATTCCTTTTCAAATGTTGCTCCGCTGTAATGAAAATTGTAAATGTTTATTTGACAGAGTATATAGGGGGGGGGGGGTTGATCAAAAGTAAACGATATCTTAGGTATTTGATAGTTATATTATTGTTGAAATATTCAAGTATTCAAGTATTTTTCAAAGTGTAAATTGGAGATCTTTGATAGCATAATGCTTAATTAAAAACAAATTCCTTTTCAAATTTCCTTTCACCGGGCAACATAACAAGTATCATATTCAACCATCTGCCTTCCTTCCCTAAAACGGTCTATCCAATCATTGATTGAATTATTAGGAAGTCATTTGTCTTAATAAACTATGAACAAATTCTTTTACGTTACTTCAAAGGCAGTTTTAAAATACACCATAATTATTTTAGTCGGTTGTTGAATGAATTCCACTGAGACAACCATTTTTCGTCACAAGTACCTGCATAATGACTTTATTTTCACATTGTGAGCAAATCTTTATTCGGCATATGCTATTTATAAAACTTAAGTGTGCACCAAATTTGTTTCTAATCTAAATTGTGGTTTTGTAGATATAGAGATAGTTCGAGAACTTTTTGATCACCCCTCGTACTAGTAGATACTAACACAAGGTTTTTCATATCGATTTTAGGTGTTTAATTTCTTTGTGTTTCATTGGTGATAATTAAACTTTTGATAGATATTATAAGTTATCTGTGGCAAACTTACAAACTCTTAATTTTAAACTTTGATGGTGCTCATTTTTCCTTACCTGGAATCAAAAAGTTTATTTCAATACGTACACTATTTAACAACTGTTCGATTATAATACTAAATAAATTACTTCAAGCCACAGTATAACACAATTCCTCTTTGAAAAGTGTTCATATTATTTGAAATATTTTTCAACTGTAATTCTCTTCTACATTTAAAGATTGTTATGTCCCTCCATATTAAGAAGAGGTCTGGAAAACAAAATTCTGTGCTAAAAATAGACCACGTGCTGCTATCAATGAACTACTTTCAGGGTTCTTTACACTCTTTTTGAAGACAACGATACCTTGTTTTGAACTTAAAATTATCATTTAAAAGTGCAAAATTTAGACTTTTTCTCAACAAATGGTTGTAGAGAAAACATTAATGCACATTTTGCGTATTTTTTTGGATTTTTTAAGGCTCTGCTGAATTCTGTAGCTGCGCAGTTCTTAGGAGCATATCAAAAACATTTTTCTGCAAAAGTATAGATTATATATGCACAATATGCATTCAGTTATGCATATTTATTGTATCTTTATCATAAGGGTTTAGAATTGATCAAAATATAATGTACTTTAGCCATTTGAAGAAATGTTTACATTTTGTTCTCACTGCACTAAATATGGCCGTACATCCCCCTTAAGAAAGGGAAGTTGACGAAAGAAAAGTTTAAGTCATTACGTTTATCATAGAGCTTGGTTGTTAGATTTTAGAAACATTCAACAAATTCACTGTACGTTTTCAAAATATGGGGATAATATAACCCTATTTAGATGGAAAATATTGTCTACCCCCCCCCCCTAACAATTCATCGAGTATAATTGAATTATAATTGAATTGTATTAAACAGATATCTTATGGCCAAATTGCTGGTTCCATAATGTAGGCAGGAAGTGAGAGTAAGCCTGCGTTGTAGCAAATGCTAATGTTAAAACGCCGCTTAATGAAACAAATAACATTTAGCGTTACAACGCTTAATGCATCAATCAGTGCATTAATAACTGGCATTCTCAACCGCTAATGCTAAATCACCGGTTAATTATATCATTAAGCGTCAAAAATGCAGAGCAACACTGACGCTAAATGAAACAAGCAAATATGACAATAGCCGACTTGTCGTACGATAGTACGATAGTAGACGCGTTTAGTAGACCTCCAAAAATGACAAAATCAAGTCGAGAACTGGATGTCAAAAGTGGAGACCGTCGCAAACTATGCGAGTGTTTAGATTTATGGATGCAGCATTGTCTATTCTAAAAAAAGAATGAATTTCTTGATTTATTCCTTAATGTAACTAGTGTGAAACGGAAACCTCGACAACGAGATGAAAATCAATACAATGTCAAATTATGCATTGAACAAATTTTCACTGAAAGATGCACGTTTCCAGAACAAATTTAAAACCTGCACGAGCGGCGTTTTGGCGTTGTTTTTGTTGAGCTATTTTGAATAATTCATTGATCAAAGATAAAAATATTATTTATAGAGATAATACATGGCATTAATGTTCATTATATATAAAATGTTGGTTATCATGCATATGTATACCAATTTCTAATTGGTAGAACTCGGACAACCCTCTCTTAACGGGTTATTTCTACTGCTTTAAATTTTGTACGAATTTTGGTTCAAGTAGTGTGATTTTTATTTTATCGCTTTAATTTTTTTAAGAATTGCGCATGTCCATATTAAATTAAAGTCATCGGTGGAAAAAATCCAATGATTGTTTGAATATATTTACATTCATATAAATGTTTCTGGACAATGCAATATAAAAAACATTATCCCGCCTTGATAATGATTCAACGAATTCAAATCCGTTTGTTTATTTACCTTTATATAACACATGCCTCTCATTCATTCCTGTATTTAAACGCCCGCGTGGCGCAGAAGTTAGAGCATCTGCTCTAGAGTCGCAAAGTAAGGAGTCAATCTTTACGTCGTAGGTTCGAATCACACTGTGAGACGTGGAGACTGGTCCTTCGGATAAAATCGTAAAAATCCAGATCCCTTGACGCAGTAGGTGCTGGCACGAAAAAATCCCTCCCTGCTCAATGGCTCTGAGTGCCGAGTATAGGACAAAATTAGGAGCTCTCCACAGGCAAGTGGTGGCGTCTCCATATGAGTGAAAATCTTCGAGAGGAACGTTTAACAATATACAATCAATCAATTAATATTCCTGCTTTTAAGAAGACTTAAAAATCGGGTATGATTTGAAGACAAATCTATACTAAATAAATTATTATAACAATCTATGCGTCTCGAAAAGTACTAATTACAGAGTTTACAGGTAATTGGCGATGCTTGTATAATTCATGCTAGTAAATCAAAATTTACCTACATGTAAATGATTCCAATTGATATTCAACTGAATATTGCTCAAAATTACCAACAGTTCTAAGCTTAATGGCAATTAACATTACTTTAATACATAAGATATTGAATGTTTTTGTACTTCTTTGAAATTTTACACGTTTAAATTTTACGAATTTATCAAATTCCTAAAAATAAGTAAAATATAGCAGGTCGTAAAATTTTTCCGTTATTCAATATACATTGAGGTAATGTTTTCCTAGCGAGCTATGCAGGTTACAGGTTCAAAGAACTTTTTTCCTATAGATGAAAAATCCTGATGCACTGTTATGGCGGAAGATAAAGGTCAACCTATGGTATCCTTGCTGTTAATTTGTCATATAATCGGCCTCACAAATGGATACCGTCCTTTGCGACAAGGACTTACACCAACCAATGTACTGTTTGTCAACATTAAGCAAATTATCACTGATGATGTTTTATTAACTTTCTGACTCATAGCAAAATTGAATTACATCATTTTGGGGTTAGTTTACACTGTTTTACAGAAACATGTGACAGTAAAAATCTCTGTTCACAATATTCATCCTATGTTTTGAAAAATGAGTGAAAACGACAATGTTTACAAATATCTAAACAATTACTACTATTTTGAAAAATCAAAAATTGTAGTTATCCACGTTTGTCTGACATTAAAACAGATAATGAAACTTGCATCAAAAGCTTTTTTTAGCAATTTTTCGAAAGAATCAGGTGACAATAAAAAAAAAAACCTCTGATGTTAGAGTTTGCAGACCTTTATACTCAATTCCATTTGATGTTAAAACTGTTACTGTCAGATCCCTCCCCTGACCAAATATGGAGCACGTAATATGGAAACCCAGATTCAGTCTAGTCCCATGTACTAAATTGATATATAGATTATTACTTATCAGTGTTATACATGTAACACTAAATCTAAATACACGGGTTTCATTTTTTTGTATCCAATTTTATTTCTCGAGTCCACTTCTTTAATTTCACGACGAAAAAAAGGCGACATATGGGAATTATCAAGTACTTTGTTCTATGTTTTATTTCATGTCTTGCTACATGTACAACAACATTGTGAAAACTTGCTGTATGTGGTCGTTCAATCCATAAGTGTTAGTGGTCTGTTATTCTTCTTCAAATCTCTTCTCCTACGTGTTTAATGATTCAATTCATTTTCCACAACAACTTGAAAGTCTATTGCTTTACATATAAACATTTTTGTGTGTTATCAAGGTTAAACGTACATTTTCCCTAAAATCAAGACTGGACAAGGACTGTTCTTCCTAAATATTCCGGTTTCTCTTTAGATTAAAGAAAATTTTCTAAGAAGAATATTGGAGATTAAGCCTAGAAACGACACAACCTTAAATATTTTACTTCTCGGACAAACTGGATGTGGAAAATCATCCTTTGTTAATGCGTGTTTGACAGCATTACTACAAGAAGGAAGAGTTATTAAACAAGCTCCAGTTGGACCAATGACTGCAGAAAGTTTAACAAGAAGGGTAAGTGCTTTTTGGAAATTTCTGGCTTGATATTTGATAAAAAAAATAATAATATTAAAGGGTGTTAAAAGATCAATGTTTTTGAGATAAATTATGCACACATGCTTCATACCATGCACTTTAAATAAGAAAGAGATAAAAACTCAAAAATAAAGAAGACTGCATTATGATATTGATGCATAAATTTAAGATTTCATTAAAAAAATTATTTTTAAAAATCATGTTAATATTCATGCAAAAATCATACAAAAACCATGCGGAAAGTTCCACATAAGAATGTCATGTGAATGTCCTAATTAATTTTTTAAGTGAAACTCGTGCGTTTTTTATGTGAACATAATTTCGCATGATTTACGTTGGAATTTAAATTTATCAGTTTGATATGTATAAATCGTGCTTAATTTGCAGAAATATTTTGTGATATTTATCAATCAGGGAAAAAAAAAACAATGAACAAAGAATTTGAATGTTTCAATGTTTTTTTAGTTGTTTCTGCCACAGTAAGTAATAAAAATTGCCAGTCTCTGATATTTTATTACATTTTCAACAGTGAAATACTGAAATTTATCTATTATACAAAAGTGATATATGTCACAGTGTAAAAAAAATATCTAAATGATATTCTGTCACAGTGTGAAAAATATCAGAAGTTCGGTAAAATCCTCGATTTACCTTGGCATAACGAAGAGTGTTTGTAAAAATATTCCTTGCATTTGGATAGTAATAATAATATATATATAAGAGAGACAGAGAGAGAGAGAGAGAGAGAGAGAGAGAGAGAGAGTTAGTTATCCCATTCTGACAGAGAATAAGACTGCTAAAGTTCCCCTCAAATATGTTGCTGAAATCTATGTTTACACTGTTTTCAATCTCGAATCATTCGGCTACCTAAGCTATGACGTCTCAACGTCTCAACTATGACGTCCTATAGCCTCTGTCTGTATTAAAAAAAGACAAATAGGCAAAGGGGAAATCAAAGAAAATGTAATAAACTTTTAAAAGTTTAAAAACTCACTCATGAGACAGGATTTTTTTTTTATATATTTTCACTAATGCTTCGCAATCGTGAACATATCAAAATATCCTGTTAAACTCGTGAAATGAATTCCATATTCAACTACAAAACATTGAATAATTTTAAATATCGTTTGGATGTTCCTTGTTAATACATTGACTTTAGTGCCGATGGCTGTGTTTAAACGCGGTTTTTCAGTTTTTTTCAGTCTTGTGTCCTGATCGACAAACATTTCCTAGAATGAAATATATTTTTTTTTTTAAAGTATTACCATCCATTCTTATATTCTAATTGTTTAGGTCAAAGGGACTAATTTCTAAACAAGCTAATTCAGGACGACTTCGATTCATACCCGAGTATTAACTCTTGGTTAACGTCACATAACCGGACGTTTACACAAACATGTGGTTTTCAAGCCAACACATATGAGTTTCAAGGGTAGCAAAAATAAAATAAATTTCCTCAATGAGTTTTAAAAGGCGGTCGAATGGGTCCATTTTTACATCATCTGTTAGTTAATTTTCTCTATAGCTTTTGCTGCAGTTGAAATTTTTTTTTCTTTTTCAGCTCTGAACTTTATTGGTTTCGAATTTAAAATCATGTCTCTGCTGTTGTCGGGCAGTAAGCCTGAAAATTCTAATCAAATAAACATATATTCATTTAAATTATAAAGCGTTCATGTAGAAAGTGCGTTTTGAAGTTTGCTTTTAAGGATAAGTATGGCAAGTCCTTTTACTATTTATTCGGAAAACAAAATTTATCTCAAAATTACAGAGATATCTCTCATTTTGAGAGATATCTCTTTAAAAATAGAGATATCTCTAAACTTAAAGAGATATCTCTCATTTTTAAGAGATATCTCTATGAGAAAGAGATATCTCTTAAACTTAGAGAGATATCTCTTATACTTAGAGAGATATCTCTTTTAATTAGAGAGGTATCTCTTCCAATTGAAAAGATATCTCTTTCTCCTTGAAAAGATATCTCTTTCTCCTTGAAAAGATATCTCTTTTGTGAAAAGAGATATCTCTAAACGTTAAAGAGATATCTCTTTCACCTAGGGAGATATCTCTTTTACTTTTGGAGATATCTTTCTAAGTTAAAAGGATATCTCTTTAAGTAAAAGAGTTATCTCTGTTGGTTTATCTTAAGAGATATCTCTTAAAGTGAAAGGAATATCTTTCGAAAGTGTCTAAAAGAGATATCTCTCAAGCAAAAAGAGATTTCTCTTTATTGCAAAGATTTTTTTTTATTTAAATTCCATTTCAAATGACTTCCCCCTTACCGGAAGTAAGCTTTTTATTGACGGAAATACTCAAATTAGAAATAGATGATTATTTCATAAGCTGAGAAAATTCGGTCCATTGCATTTGAGATTATATAAATGCTTACTAATATTAAACTTTTAGCATTTTGTCAACGTAGCTACCATTATTATTTGTTTTAAGTAAAGGATTAACGATTTACGAAACTATTCCAGAGACTTTACTTCCTGTTTCACTTTCGTTTTAAAGTGGAGAATTAATTATTCTATTTTAAGCATCACTAGAAAAGAGATATCTCTTTCATTAAAAGAGATATCTCTTTAGCTTAAAAAGATATCTCTTTTTGAAAATCTAAAGAGATATCTCTCTAACTAAGAAAGATATCTCTTTTAACCTTGTTAAAGAGATATCTATCTAACTTTAAGAGATATCTCTCTCGCTTAAAGAGATATCTCTCTAGCTTATAAAGATATCTCTCTAAGTAAAAGAGATATCTCTCACAAAAAGAGATATATCTTTTGTTTATCTCTCTAGGGTATAAAGATATCTCTTTTAGTCAAAGAGATATCTCTATAAGCTGCAGAGATATCTCTATATGCTAGAGAGATATCTCTCTTATTGAGAGAAAATTTTTAGTTCACGAATAAATAGTAAAAGGGCATGCCATAGATAAGCGATGCTAAACATAATATTTAGTAAAAAAAATAATTCCTACGTTCGGGTTTATCTTTCGACGCCGCCATATCGAAACTCTAGTAATCCTACTGTATGGCTGGGTTTGCTTGGGTAGAGTTCATAAAGTCATAAGACGTATTTTGAGTAGTAACTATGGTCGTTCGATTGAAACTCAAGTAACTCGAGTACGTACTCGGGTACGAATCGAAGTCGCCCTCAGAGAATCTGTGTCCCTCGCTTAAGGAAAAAAGAAGACCATGAGTAGTTCGGGGGCGGGCGGGGGTCGGATCCCCCTGAATGAATTGTTAATTAAATGCATACACGTAAAAATTGCCAATATGGATATAAAGATTTGATTGCTTAAACTTTATTATGTGTATAGAAGATTTTCATTCATATAGAATATTCATCACACTGTAGTTATGATTTTATGAGGTTTTGCTTATGAAATTTTTTTTTGAAAATTATGTACAAATTAAATTTCTCATATATTAAGCACAAAATATTATTGGGGAAAGTTAAAAAAAATCTGTTGAGTTTTCTTTTTGAAGTCTGCAAATATTTTTCCAACAATATAAAATACAGTTTAATATTTTGTAGTTTATTTCATATAAGCTGAAAATCAAAACGAATGGTCAAGATGCAGAATTACCTATTCAATTGTTTGACTCGCCGGGACTACAAAGTGAAGAAAACAAGGGAGTACATACTGATGATATCAAGATGATGTGCAGAGGTTTTATCAAATCTAATTATTTGGTAGGAAAAAAAGATAAAGTTTCTCTTTTTGTAATCCATTCTTTCGACATTGCAAAGCTTAATGCGAATCTATATTTTTGCACCAAGAAAGCATTTGCCGAGAGATTATACTGTTGCTTAAAATTATTTTTCTTTCTCTTTCTTATTGTTTCTTTTGTTGACATTTATGTTTTAGCTCACTAGAACATGGTTAAATTGAGCTTTTCAGATCAAAATGACACCATTGTCTGTTCTTGTCATTCTCGTTTTATATTTTAAATTTTTAACTTCTAGAAACTATTTTCATTGCTACAATCAAACTTGCCACAGAGCATAAATTGATCCAACAGTGACTTCAAATTTCTTCAAATGAAAGCTTTGTTTTTTATGCTCCTGTAAACGAAGTTTTAGGGATATATAGTTTTAATTGTGTCCGTCCGTCTGTATAGTTGTATGTCTAGCTGTTTGTATGTCCACAAAACTTTAGCCTTGCCCATAACTTTTCATTTAGTGGGGCTTAACTTTCATATTTCATATGTATATTCCTTGTTACTAGACCTTTCTTTGGGTATTGCCATTTAACAATTTGACCTTTTGACCTTAAACTTGCAATTGGAGTTTGACCCACGTTTACATGTACACAAAGTACCATATCTTATGAACAATAGATACAAAGACTTTTAGACTGCAAATATGTATTTATTGAGCAAAGACATTTTATGAGATACAAAAACTTTAACATTTTGACATCTACCTTGGAGATTTTAGTACTAATAAAAAACTTTAACCTTCGTCATTACTTTTGAATAGTTAAGGCTAGTGCTTCCATTTTTCACATGTGTTATTCCCGTGAGAAGACCGTTCATTGGATACCAAGAACTTTTACCCTTTGACCTTCATCTTGGAGTGTGACCCTCTTTTTAAAAGCAAACATTGACCATAACTTTTCTAATGTAAGGACCACTGCTTTCTTTCTTTTCGTATTTAATGAATGAGACAAAATCTTTCATTTAATATCAAGATTTTTGACCCTCTGACTTTGACCTTGAAGTTTGACATACTTTTTTAAAATTTTAAATCTTGGCCATAACTTTTGATTGATTGATTGATTGATTGATTGTATATTGTTTAACGTCCCTCTTGAGAATTTTTCACTCATATGGAGAGGTCACCGTATGCCGGTGAAGGGCTTCAAATTTAGACCTATACTCGGCACTCAGGGCCATTGAGCAGTGAGGGTTCTTTATCGTGCCAGCGCCTTACCGTGACACGGGATCTACTTTTTTAAGGTCATATCCGAAAGGCCCGTGACTTTCACTTCGAGTGCCGAGCGCTTGGCGAAGGAACAGTCACTACCTTTGTTAACGTCTTAGGTATGACGCGGCGCCGCGAACGAGAATCGAACCCAGGCCTCCAGATCACGAAGCGAACGCTCTACCACTAGGCTACCGTGATCGGTTCCATACCTTTTGAAAGGTTAGAGTTAGGACTTTCATACTTCACATAAATATTTTTTGTGAAAAGACGTTTCATTGGATACAATAACCTTGACTCCTTGAATCGAACCCAGGCCTCCCGATCACGAAGCGAACGCTCTACCATAAGGCTACCATGACAATCTTTGTGTACCAAAATATTAAATTTGCATTTTAAGAAAAGATAAATCCTCGATATGTTGCCAAAGTGTTTCACAAACACGTCTTGTTTTAAAAGGAAAGCCGGGCAATGGTATATCATTTTTGTTTTCTTGTGTAGCCTAGATTCATACATGTTTTAATCATGAACCACAGAGGAAGAGTCTGGCCTAAATCAGTAATGAAATTGCATATGAATAAATCAAAAAGAGATTTGAAATCTTCTTCTTAAAACAAGAAAGTCATGAGTACTCATTTTAGCTCACCTTAACCGAAGGCTCAAGTGAGCTTTTCTGATCAAAATTTGTCCGTTGTCTGTCGTCGTCGACCATGTTGTAGTCGTCGTTGTTGTCGTCGTAAACTTTTTACATTTTCATCTTCTTCTCAAGAATCACGGGGCCAATTTCAACCAAACATGCTTCAACATATCCTTGGGTAAAGGGGATTCAAGTTTGTTCAAATGAAGGGCCATGCCCTTTTCCAAGGGGAGATAATTAAGAATTAGAGAAAAATTAATGGCATTTAAAAAAAAACCATATTCTTCTCAAGAACCACTGGGCCAGGAAAGATGAAAGATGTGGAATCATCAGGTAGTGTAGATTTAAATTTGTTAAATCATGACTCCTGGGGGGGGGGGCAAAATGGCCGATCAAAGTTTAACATAGGTATATATAGGAAAAATCTTTAAATATCTTCTTCTCAAGAACCATTGAGCCGGGAAAGATGAAACTCATGTGGAATCATCCTCAGGTAGTGTAGATTCAAGTTTGTTCAAATCATGACCCCGAGGGTAGGATGGGACCAATATGGCCGATCAATGTTTTCCATAGGAATATATAGGAAAAATCTTTAAAAATCTTCTCAAGAACCATTAAGACAGGAAAGATGAAACTCATGTGAAATTATCCTCAGGTAGTGTAGATTCAAGTTTGTTCATATAATGACCCCAAGGGGCTAGGGTGGGGCCAAAATTGCCGACAAACGTTTAACATAGGAATATATAGGGAAACCTTTTCATTTTTCTTTTCAAGTATACTCACCGTCAATAGAAACGCAACGCCCAAATTTAAGGGGTGAAAATTATATACGGGATTTAACTATGTACCAAAAAAGTTAGGAAATCTTTTACTTTGCCAAATCAGTTATTTAACGGTTGAATGATTTTCATTCCATTACCGGAAGTTGGTTTTTTAGCTCCCTGAACAGAAATCAAAAATTCGCATTTTTAATAAAATTATTGACAATATTTTGGGTTTTCAAGGTTTTGTACATGTTAATTATAAGTCTTGTACCCAAAGTCCGGAAAAAATATCCTTCTTTCTCTTCCGGATGTGATGCCTGTATTTCCTCAAATTAACTGAAAGCACGCATTTTCATTGCTAATGTTGGAAATTTTCAAAATAAAGAAAAGGGAGAGCTACAGATGCAAATATACACTATATAACGACTTTTCGGGCTCATGTGTTTCAAAAGCATGAATGTCAGTTCCTTGACCGGAAGTCCAAGGGTTACTACACTACGCCAAGTTAGAGAAAATTCGACCTCAGTATCTGAAAAACAGGCTTTTAAAAAAGGACAAGAATATCTATTTCGCTCAGATTAAGACATTGATAAACTTACTGCATGGTAGAATTCGGGCTGCTTATGTTGTACAAGGCTGACTAGCACGTTTTAATTGAATGGTCGGAAGGGGGGATGGTTTAGAGTTATGTGTTACTTTATAAGGTTTAAAGATAAGATTAAGAATGAATACATAAATTTAAAAAGTAAATTTACAAAACAATGATACTTCATTTAAACTTAAAATGTTATCTTTAGAAATTAGAAAGTAACACATAACTTTTAAAACATCCCCCCTTCCGACCATTCAATTAAAACGTGCTGGTCAGCCTTGTACATCATAAGCAGCCCGAATTCTACCATGCAGTAAGTTTATCAATGTCTTAATCTGAGCGAAATAAATATTCTTGTCATTTTTTAAATGCCTGTTTTTCAGACACTGAGGTCGAATTTTCTCTAACTTGGCGTAGTGTAGTAACCCTTGGACTTCCGGTCAAGGAACTGTCATTCATGCTTTTGAAACACATGAGCCCGAAAAGTCGTTATGTAGTGTATATTTGCATCTGTAGCTCTCCCTTTTCTTTATTTTGAAAATTTCCAACATTAGCAATGAAAATGCGTGCTTTCAGTTAATTTGAGGAAATACAGGCATCACATCCGGAAGAGAAAGAAGGATATTTTTTCCGGACTTTGGGTACAAGACTTATAATTAACAGGTACAAAACCTTGAAAACCCAAAATATTGTCAATAATTTTATTAAAAATGCTAATTTTTGATTTCTGTTCAGGGAGCTAAAAAATCAACTTCCGGTAATGAAATGAAAATCATTCAACCGTTAAATAACTGATCTGGCAAAGTAAAAGATTTCCTAACTTTTTTGGTACATAGTTAAATCCCGTATATAATTTTCACCCCTTAAATTTGGGTGTTGCGTTTCTATTGACGGTGAGTATATTTCAAAGTCATGATTAGTGATATTTATATGGAGTCATCCTCAGGTAGTGTAGATTCAGATGTGTTCAAATCATGACCCCTGGGGCTATGATGGGGCAATAATGGTCATTAAAAGTTTAACATAGGAATATATAGGAAAAATCTTTTAAAAATTTTCTTCTCAAGAACCACTGGGCCAGGAAGGATGAAACTCATGTGGAATTATCCTCAGGTAGTGTACATTCAAAATTATAATTCTTGCCTTTTTTAACATAAGATAAACTCCACGAACCCAATTCAATCGAATAATGAGATGTATCGTAAAGACCCCGAAGAGAAAGACAAGGCACACTGTATTGTGTACGTTTTTGCAGCAGACGTAAAAGAATTCGTACACAAGAAGGTTGAAGGACAATTAAAGAAAATCAAAAATGAGTTTAGAGAAGGTATTTAATCAAAGAAATGTACTTAGTTTGATACCACTCTTTCTCTCTCTTAACAATACTCTGATCGGTTCCTTTCAAAAGGGCTGTGATTTTCAAATGTTAAATTGACTGTCACTGTTATGCCATGCCATGTAATGATATTTGTAGATTACATAATAAATAATTTGTTTTAATGTTAAGAGGGATAAAGTTGGGATCCATATAAATGTTTCAAAACGAAATTGCAATTGAAATTTCAAACAATATTCTGAAAACAAATACAAATGTATTTAATTTATTTAACCATTTTTCATTTTTTAAAAATACTTTAACGAAATGATCGAGGTTTAAACAGCTGTATACATTTTTAAAAAAGAAAATTTACCATATACCAAATGAATTAGCTTTAAAACCAAACAAATAGCTAGGAATTTTAATTGTTGAAAATACGAGGGTTGTCCCAAAATTCGTAGAAAATATAGTTGTTGAAAATGGTATCTCAGTTCTACGAAGGTTGTCGCAAAAAGTCGTAGAAAATGTATAACTTTGTTAACATGCAACCAACACTAACCCAAATTTTGCATAGTCTTAATATATTTTTTCAAAGTGTGATTTGGTCCCAAATTAAACGCACTTTGAAAGAAAAATTTCAAAGTGCCTTGATTTTGTCCCAATTTTAAGGCACTTTAAAGAAAATTCAAAGTGCGTAATTTTTTCAAAGTGCGTTGCCACACTGCTTTTTTATGTATTTTTTTTCCTTTTCATAGATATTCCTCAGGTTATACTGTTGACAAAAGTCGATCGCTTAGGAATTGCGGATATTACTCAGATGTTCAGACACAAGATGGTAAAAGAGTACTGCATGAAGGCGGCAGCCATCCTGGATCTATGTGAGAACGATGTTCTCCCCCAGGTTAGCTACAGCGATGAAATGGTCCCATCTGTTTACAAGGATTTGGTTACTCTGTTTAACATCAAAACAATAATAGAGAGAGCAAACGATCGCGTAAATGGACAAATTATCCCCAATGACAATTCAGCAAATGATTAGCCTTTTGCTAACAACTTCGACAATAACGATTTAAAGTAGCAGCATACAACCTAAAGAATTGTAATTTTGAAAAAAAAAAATGGAAATGAAACTGAACTTATTTTATGATATGAGATTTTATGATAATTATTTAGCACTTTCTTTTATTTATTTCTTATGTGTAATCAGCAAAAGAAAGGCATGAAGTATGTGCTGAAAGGTGTGCAATCTGGTCAACTCCCTTTTAGAGATGACATCTCAAACCACCACTATGACCACAATCCATCCATTCAGTTAGAAAAAGTTTGAGTAAGAACTGCGTTTAGTTTTCACATATTTTTCAGAAAAGAAAATTGTACTTGATACTTAATAAATTTGAAAAATAGGAGAGAGTTATACAGAACGAATGTGTAAATGTCCTATAATTTATAGTTCAATATGATAACGTGTTAAGTGATTTTTTTTAAACATACCACAGGCACTTGTTTCGGGAATAGATTTTAATTCATAGCATAATGTGTATTATTATACTATGGCTCAAATATTTATTACAGAAATAAGTGCCTGTGCATTATATTATTAAATAATAATAAAGCAATTAGTTTTCATATTTTTTCTCAGGAAAGAAAATTGTACTTGATGCTACATAATTTTTCAGTTTGAAAATACGAGAAAGTTATATAGAACGCATGTGTAAATGTTCTATAATATAGAGATCAATATAATTACAAATTAAGGTATTACATGTATAACAAGCACTACTAGAGAATGGAATAATACTGCATATTTTCTCATGAAGACAATTTGAATGTTTTAATTCCAAGTTTTTATTAAATTTTGTCCAAGCGTATTTGAAAAATGGAGCATTTTCAAACCATACCCTCCTGGGTAGAAACAGTGAAGGGGCTGTTATACTATAACAAAAATTTTTATTTCTTAATTTCACTTTAATACAAAGTTTTCACTGTGAATGAACAAACATTTCATAGGTGATTAATAAAAAAAAACAATTCATTATTAAAAATTATCATTTATTAATATTATTTCTGGTTTACTGACCTTATTCAATGGTAAGCATGCATTCCAGACAAACAACTTCATTTTAATTTTTTTTAAATCCCGGTGTGCTTTGGGCTACAATTAACATCAACAGAAATTGACTCTAATGATTACTTTCCATAAAAAAATTTTTACAAAATATTTTGAAATTATCAAGCAATTATTACCCCTACCCCCTATATCATCGTTCAATTAGCAGAGACAGGTATATAACTTATCTTCTTATACACTAACTTCTGTAAGATTATATTTATATTTTGATACCATTTTAATAGGCATGCAAAAATGAGTCTCTTGGCCTATTTTACAATGACCTTGACCTTTTAACCTTGAAAAAAATGTAAGATTTACCTAATAACAGCAAAAAACATTGTATATATTTTAATAAAATTAGAATTAGATCATCTAACCAAAATATTTTCACTACAATAATTCCCACTGATTGATACAAACATCTGTGTTTAGACTTTTACAAATTTGAGCCTCATTCAACATCCTTGCAGTCCAAATATACCTGCAGTGCTAGGTCAAAAACATCTCACCTTGAACTTTTAGAATCCTGGAGTAAACCTTTTTACAATACAATCAGTATACAATTATTAACTTTTGATGAGGTCTTCTCATGAGTATACTGACCTGATCAGGTATTTGTTGACCGAGGCCAAAAACTGAGGGTAATCAATACCTTACAAGATCCATATACTAACAAGAAGACCAAATTCAAACATCAATAACTGTTTATCAAATCAGGAGTTTTACAACATTTTTGAATCTATAATTCTTGTCTTCAACACATATAAACACTTATAATGTAAATTTTAGTGTATGCAATGAATACGTTAAGCGGCACTGTGACACACAATGAGGGAAATTGACAAATGTAGAATTTTTGCATGCTCCAGTTGAATGTTGTTTACAAGTTTGAGCTAAAAATAAAAGTTGCGTGACCTTGACAAACACAAAAACAATGAAACAGTAGACACAACCTTTGTTTTTCCGGCACTTATATCATGAATCGTCATATCTTAGCTATTTCTCTTTTTTAACACTAACCTAGCATAAATGTACATGGTTTTGTTTATCTAACACAATTTAGAATCACAACTAGAAAAAAAAACTTTCTAATGTTGGGATGATTTCCTCAAGGGTTTTCTTGACGTTTGTAACACGTGGTTGACCTTCACGATTTTTACACGAAAATATATATTCCTTAGCACATCCTCTCCATCGCATTCAAATATTTTCTTCAAATGACCCAGATTTAGTCCAGAGCCGGCCACCTTTTCTGCCGTACTTATTTTAAGGATTTCTTTACCAACAAGCAAATGCAAAGATGAAACGTTCTTTGCTTTTTCTCTGTTGAACTTTATTTGATTGATAACAGCAGCTGGTTGGAAACTCTGAATACACATTTTGTGTGGAAAATCAGCTTTCCTAGGACCTTCACAACCTCCATAGCATTGTGGGCATCACATGGTGTGTTTAAGATTGTCCTGGACAATTCTTCTTGCTTGTACGACTGGGAAGTGAAGGCCTTCTTAAATATACTGAGACTGTCTATACATCCTATCACACAGTCTAAAAATTCTGCCTCGCTTTTTATGTTCATCATTGCATTCATTAATATTGGAAAATCAAATTTTCGTCCATTGTGGGCAATCAAATACACACTAGCATATCTCTTTAGCCATTTGCAGAATTTATCAATGGAAGAAGAAAGATCATCTGCATGAACCTGTTGACCATGGACTGTCGTTGTCCCACTATTGTTGACAATTATCCCGGCTATCTGCTGTGCAGTGGAAGCAATTGGCACCTTTGGGTAAACGTAAGCAGAAAACTCTGACACCGATCCCACGACTGATGCAGCAATTTGTGTGATATGTGGATATTTCCCTCCACGCACTGAAATATACAAATGTTTGTTAGTTGATAAATACTGATTAACATATTAACATGTACTAGTAGTTATCTTCTTGCTGCAATTTATAATTTACTCAAGTCAGTTGTCTCCAAGTCAAAGAAATGAAGGTAGCATTTCCCCTGCAGGAACAGGTTTGCAGTTTCCTTGAGGCTCTGCTTCTGGGAAGTGCTCGACATCAGCATCAACAGTAAGCCCGATACCTGCATAAGATTAGCAAAAATAATTGTTAAAAACTAAAATGTTAAACAAAGCATAATATTCCATGATTTAATATAAAGTTCCAAGACTGATATTTGTTTTAAATTCTACAATTTCATAAAAATAAGAATAAAAGTAGAATATTTATTTAAATTTAAAGAAAAATACCTGACTGATATGAAGCTCCCTCCAATGCTTCATTAGCACCTTGGGTGACCGCTCGCTCTTGTTTAAGCATCAAACGTCGTCTCTTGGTTGAGGGCAATCAGGACTTTTCTTGAACTTTTTCTCTGTGCCTCATCGTCTGCTCAGCATAAGCTGTGGTATTTTTCCCATGATACAGACCAGCTTCCTTGTGAACCTACATATTCATGAATATTATTTTAATAAATAAATATCCTTTTTGAATAGTGACAAAATAAATAATTTTATTCACAAAATTTTATTATGAATTATAACAAACTATTTGAAAAAACAAAGTATATTTCATGCATGTACTTACAGCTCTATGGCTTCCATTTCTTTATTGCAATACATATGTCTTTAAAAAGATAAACAAAACAAAACAATAAAGTAAAAGTGTTGTACAAAAGTGAACACAAACAGAAATGCATTAAGTATGCAATTGCAAAAAAACAAAGGAGAAAGATCATTCTTCCTGTCATTCAAGATTCTGTGGGTTTAAATGGAAACCAGAGGGGAAAAAAATTATGTCATTGTATTTATAATTCATTTATATATTTTTTTTTCTTTTTAGCTGAATGTTCATTGATATTAATATTTCACTTTTTTTCAATGTAATTAGTTTTTTATTGGCAATACAGTGTACATGTAAGTAGGTAATGCAATTAAACTAAACTGAAGAAAAATATTCCAAGCCAGGTGAATTTGAAGAGGAGGAACAAAATGAGAAAAAATTAGCAATATCACATATGCTGATTTTCTCAATTTAGCTTTTCCTAATAAAATTCACCTGGCTTGGTATATTTTTCTTCAGTTTATATTACACTTTTAGCACCAAGATAATATATTATGAAATTTGTTTTCACCTGTAAACCTTTACTGAATGTGATTTGTCTATATTTGTTTTTTCATTAAAATATTAGTAATATTTTCCAAGTGTTTTTCATATTCCATTTCTTAGGAGAACAAAATCTAAGAACCATCCACTTCTCTAAACTTGTGACATGATATTTAATCTTTTTCAAAGAAAAAAATTGTTTGTATCATCTGTCCTTAAACATCTTTTCCATTTATAAACATAATATAATGAGACAAAATAAACATTAAGTTAAAAAAAACACCTTTCAATATATCGATATATCATATACTGAGACAAATTATTAACTAGAGGTACTGTGAGCAATGAGCTCACTAAATGATACCCCCCGCCTTCCATATGAATATAATGGCAGTGTCCATGTTTTGCTCTGGAAAATCCAAAATGTATGTCAGATCAAAAAGTAAAATAAGAGGTACACAATGATAATATGTAATAAAGATTCTTTGAAACTTTCATTAAATGTCCTTCTGTGGTATGAGTGGAGTTGCGGATAAGAGATGGGTACCCCCAAAGCATAACAGACGGACGGACAGACATACCGATTACTTTATACCCTCCCAATTTTCAAGTGAGGTTATAAAAACAGTCACTAAAGCGCTTACAAGTATCAAGTAGGAAAAGACCTCTATGCATTATAATTAAGCACATCAATTTCATAGTAATTTGTTTCGATAGACCCATAAACATGCATAACATTTTATTTACATGTACTTATTTTATTCTATTTATAGATATTGGATGCAAATTTTGTCAATTATAAAAAGTCATTTTTATATACATTTTTTAAGTTCTTATGATGAATCATATGGAGATAAGGAACTGTATACAAAATCTTAAGTCCACAAAACAATACAAAATAGGAAAAGAGCAAACACGAACCTACATATAATCAAAGTTGGGATCAGATGCGATGGAGGAGTAAGCATCCCCTTTGGACCGGTCATACCAACTATGTGCTCCTTGTCATGATCGGGAAATAACGGAAAATTTGTCGTCAGTTCAGTGTATAAATAATGGACTAACAATTAGTATGCAAAACGTCAGTCAGCATTTGAGTCAATGATAAATTGTATTTGCTGACAAGGTCATTGTATCGACCATAGAACTTAAGGTCATTGTATCGAACATAGAACTTATGAATTGATGACTATAAACGAAACTGCTGATATTCTTGCTTCATCAAATTGTTTGTCAATAATTTATCTCGTTTTAAAGATTGTTCATACGTATGGAGCATGATCTGGCTTACCAAATCAGCTGAATTGTATAAACTCTGTATGCAGGTGATGCTCACTCCTCAATGGCAACTGATCCCACCTCTGATGATGTGGAGGTCCGTGTTTGCTCTGCTCCTATTTTATAGTGTTTATAGGACTTTGATATTGTATACTGTTCGTTTTCTCCATATCCATCTGGGACAGAAAAAAGACGCATGTTTAATCTGTGATACTGCAACATACCCAAATCAAAAAAGTTTGACCTAGATAAACTATAAACAATCAATATTGTTTACTATGAAACACTAAGTGTAAGCTTGGTATTTATATATTGCAACTGCCCTCTCTGGTATCAAAGTTGTAGTTTCCCTCACAAACAGACATACAGACACGTTATAATATACTCGATTAAATGTTTAAATAAAATTAACCATATCTTAACAGATTGCAAAATTAGCCAAGTCATTACTATTTAAGTGTGTGTTGCATTGCGAACCACAACCATATTTCAGTATAATATTACTGTACATATATGTAATCAATAACCAAAGTATGGTTTTGGTTCAGAATGCAACACTTGGTGTACTAGAAGTTTAAACATCATAACCCTCCGACATTTTCCCATATGCCCAATTTTAAAGCGGTTGAGGGTACCATACTTTGGCCGATAATTCCAATTTTATCCTAATTTTTTCCCCTGCATAAATATACATGGCACAAAATTAGACATGTTGAAAATAATGAAAGTAAGTTTAAAATTGTGTGCAGCCTAATTTCATTTATCGCAAAAAACATGGGCCAAAAAAGAGCCTTATCGAAATATCTCCTTTATTGATTTAGATTCATAAAGAATACAATGCCAAATCATATACATGTACACCATTCAGAGGAGCAATTGTGTATTTGAGAGGATAAAAAATATGCTTCAGTTAAAAAATTCTAGAGAGTAACACTCTAAATTATATATATTAATCTTAATAGTATATCAATATATAGGATTACCAATGCTACCAAAATAAATTCAGGTCTTACAAGTTAAGACTGTCAAATCCCCTTTTGTGCCATGCTGTGTCAGCAGCTGCTGACATTTCCTGAAGCGTCTTACAAGGATAACTGAGCTTCACAACTTTCTTGCCTTTAACTTTATCAACTTTCTTCATAAATTTTTCAGATCTTGAGGGAGCACCGGGAGTTTGTAAAACACGCTTCTCCAGGTGTGTAGGATTACAAGGAGTTTTGGGACTGTAATTAGAAATAACATGTTCTTTGTCAACAAGTTAAGACATTACAAAGCAGTGAATATTTTTAAAAATTGCATCTGACATTACTACTATCACACTTCTGAGTGAAAACACCTGGTCTTTTCTGGCCCAGGTTATTAAGGTGTGACTTAATGTTTTTCAATTTAAAAAATATAACTGCATGATAATGTACGTATGTATCAGTGGTTCAAGCTTAGAGGTTTTGAATATTTAATGAAGGTTTGTGTTATCCAGAGTACATTTGAGGTTCATAAATTATAATTCCATGCAAGTTACTTGTTAATCTAATTTCATTAATTTAATTATATATTTATTATTCTTAAGAACAATTACCATTCGTCAGGAATTGGAGTTGATAAAGTTTGTCTTGGAGTACTTGCATTACGGGTCGATAGGTCTTCGGGTCTACATGTCTACGGTTTCTACAGATCTACGGGTCTACAGGTCTATGGGTCTACAAGTCGACAGGTCCACAGGTCTACAGATCGACAGGTCGACAGGTCAACAGGTCTACGGGTCTACAAGTCTACAGGTCGACAGGTCTACGGGTCAACACGTCGTCAGGGTATCAAGGTCACAATAAATATGATTATACGTGTTAAGAAACAAGGGTTTCAATGTTTCCTAGATATTATAGTATTAAAAATTCAGATGTATGATAATATTTTTTTAACAATATACGAATTTTTTGACAAGTCTATTTGTAAATGAGGTAACAGATAAAAGTAAAAATTATATGAGATGTGTAAATGTTATTCAATTTCAATGAATAATAATAAGTGATTGGGTTTCTATGGTGATTGGGAAGAATGTGAAATAGTTTAATATAAAATGTTAATATTAGCGGGTGCTATATAAAGATGTAGACCTGTCGACGTAGAGATGTTGACCTGTAGACCTGTAGACCTGTAGACCTGTCGACCCGTAGACTTTCGTTAGATATTAGAGTGCTAAACATTTATATTCATATAAGTTTGCATTTTTATGTATTCATATACATAATACTTATGAATATTTATGAATGCAATAAATTTAGTTTAATGCAAAAATAAATATGATATTTAATATTTTTTATTTCAAATTACTATAACAGTTAAAAGGACTATTCACTCCTATTTCAATATGAGCGAATCCACAGGAACTATATATCCGTATACTATACTTGACCCGCCATATATATGTAGCATTTGTATGAGACAGAAATTAATTAAACCGTGATGCGCCACAAATAGAGGTTGTGTTGGGGGGGGGGGGGGGTGTTATATATTAAATTAATCATTTTTAAAAAAAAATACAAATATTTGACCTTTTATATTATACGTGCACATGTCCTCATCCATATTACTATCTTTTTAAATTGACCACAAGAATATAACAAACCTGTACAAAAAAGAGCCTTCTGTTGAGAAACCACATTATATAAAACCATAGCCTGCTTCAATGATTCCTCAGTAATTTCTGTAGGTGTTGGAGTTAATCTATTCTCCAGAGCTCCAGTCAGGGTATGTTGCAGGATGTGTAGAGCAACTGCCAATCTTAAAATGTGGTTTGTATCCTTACTAGTAATTGTGGACGACTCCTCAGATGGATCGTTCTGAGACATTGAAGGTTCATTGTTTTCCTTATCATCTTCTTAAAATAATACATTTTATAAATTGTATTAATTTCATTTATAAATACATGCATTATTCATTTAATTGTTTTTTCTATTAATTTTTTTAGAACTACAATCTTAATTAACATTTTAGAAAATTTATTAAAATCTATTTGTAAATACATTATCCATTCACTAATAGTATCGTTATAATTATTTTGAGTAAAATAAACGAAATATAAATTATAATAATTATACAAATTGTAATTTGAGAAAAAAAATCGAAACATTTCATACCTTCATCTGAGCCATATTTTCTACTTATGAACTCTGCATACGAGTCAGTCATTTCGTCGAATTCTTGCTCTGCAACTTCTGAGAGAGTGTACAATTGCCCTTTAGTATGTTCTTCGTAAACTTTTGTCAATATTTCGGCAAAGTCCTGCATATTTGATTCTTTTAGTATCTGCATGTTTTCTTTTGTTACTGCCGATGTGTTAAATATAGGTTTTGAAACAAAGAACAGAAATCGGTCAAGCAAACCATCATCTCCCCCAAGATGGAATAATTCGGAAATCAGAGGATGTGGTTGAATAAACAAGCAACATGACATTGACGTTTTCATGAAACCTCTGTTTCCGGATACTAGGGTTGCCGTGTCTCCTTTCCCGCCCCACATTTTGCATAACAGTGAACGTTCGCCCTCTCCTTTCGATTGCTTTACATTTATTGATGTTAAGAAACGGTGTCCCTCATCACTGGTAATTAGACCGTATCCGTTGTTGTCTATCTGATGCTTCTGTAAACCAGCGGTTGTATTTGTTTCAAGTTGTAGATTCACCCCGTGCTTCTTTCTGATTTTCTCAATTACCGGATCTACAACTCTGTAAAATGTGTTGCTTTTTCCTCCACCGGGCGCGCACACGGAGATTATAAACTGGTTAAGAACTGTGGTATATTCACTGCTTCCGACAGTAACTTTACTTTCTGGTCCGGTCAGTGCCGCAACTAAGGATAATAAGCTTGCCGTAATTAAAGTTTTAGAACAATTTGTCGCCTTTTCGAACACTGTCAACCAGTTTTCAATTTCTTCTGAAAATACATTTTTCCATGGAATTTTAACGCTGTATGAGTTCTTGTAAATTTTAAATACATCCTCCGTTCTAACTTTCTTCATCGATGCCATTTCTTATCCAACGTGTCTTTGAAATGAAACGTTTCCATTGTGACGTCATAATATAAATAACGTTATAGATACATATGTTTTGTAACAAATACATAGTAACGCTATGGATACTTAAAATTTTATTCAGCAAAGTTTTCGATACTCTAAAGATTCTTATACTGGTTCCATTTTTTTTTCAAAATGGATACCAATTCCGAAAATTTGAAACGGGCTCCGAAAGCTTTTGAATTTTACAAAATCATTTCCAATAAGGAAAATTTAATATCATATTTAATGGAAATAAGCATCTTACAAAATCGTATGGACTGTGTAGTATGTGGATCGGAAATGAATTTAGTGAAGCGAAAAGATTTATCCGATCAGGCTCAATGGAAATGCCCATGCTGTATTTCATCTTGTTCGATTAGGAAAAATTCAATCTTTGAGGTAGGAAACATTTTCAATGAAAAAGGAAAAAAAAAAACATTGATCCGTAAAGATTCAAAACAAACAATTATTTTATTAAAACATTATCAATTTATTACACTGTTATTCTAAATTTTATAAACTATTTTCATTTTTTTCACAGAATTCCAAATTATCACTGGAAAAACTCACGGAAATATTATATTACTTTAAATGGATTTTCAAATTTATGAAATTGAGAAACTGGTTGATGTTAATCATGGCACAGTTATAGAGTGGTTTCGCAAATTACGATCGATGACATTGCAATTTTTAAAGAATGATCCAATTACACTTGGAGATAGTATGGGAATTATAGAAATTGACGAAAGCTTATTTGGAAAAAAAAAGAAAATATAACAGAGGAACAGGAAGACAGGATACGTGGGTTTTTGGTATGGTTGAAAAGGGAACCAGAAAAGTCATTTTTCGGGTAGTGGAAAAGAGAAATAAAGACACTCTATTACCTATTATTTAAGAATCTGTTTCCGAAGGTTCTACAATTCATTCAGATTGCTGGTCAGCATATAACACTTTGGTTGAAGAGGGATTTGTGCACAAAACAGTCAATCATTCTAAAGAATTCTTAGCCAGTGATGGAACATGTACCAACGAAATTGAGGGCCTTTGGGGTATTACGAAAAACAAAATCAAGAAAATGAAAGGCATTCTGCACGACAAGATCCAGGATGTTTTGCATGAATTTTCATATAGAAATCGATACGGATTTTCAAATGGCGATGTTTACCAAAAACTTATCGATGACATCGGTCATACCGTTTCCAATTTTTAAAACTTAACAATATAGTCATCTCATATAATTTGTTTATATTTTCATTTCTTACTTCATTTACACAATGACTTCTCAAATAATTTGTAAATTGTCCAAAAATTATAATCATCAATCTGAATTTTGTATACTATAATATCTAGGAAACATTGAATCCCTTGTTTTTTAATACGTATAATCATTTCATATTTATTGTGATCTTTATACCCTGACGACCTGTCGACCCATAGACTTTTAGACATGTAGACCCGTAGAACTATAGACCTGTAGACTTGTTGACCTGTCGACCTGTAGACCCGTAGAACTGTAGACTGTAGACTTTTTGATCTGTTGACCTGTCGACCTGTAGACCCTTAGACCTGTAGTCCTGTAGACCTGTTGACCTGTAGACCCGTAGAACTGTAGACTGTAGACTTTTTGACCTCTCGACCTGTAGACCCGTAGACCTGTAGTCCTGTAGACCTGTAGACTTGTTGACCTGTAGACCTGTAGTCCTGTAGACCTGTAGACTTGTCGACCTGTAGACCTGTAGACCCGTAGAATTGTATACCTGTAGACCCAAAGACCTGTCAACCCGTAGACCTGTAGACCTGTAGACCCGTAGACCTGTAGACCTGTCAACCCGTAGACCTATACACCCCTAGACCTATCGAACAGTATTTCTGCAGTCATGTAGACCTGTATCCGAACTATCAACCCATAGACCAGTCTACCTGTAAACCCATATAACTTTCCATTCGTAGACCTATATACCTATAGATTACCCTTTGACCTGTATACCTGTCAATCTGTATACCTTTCTACTTGTAAAATTGTCCTAATACATACACATTCATAATTACATGTATATTCAATGTTCAATATAAATATTTCATCATTATTATTCATTATACTTATTCAAATTCAAAAATTAATAAAATTTACATAACGATTTATTTCTTATTAAATAAATACGTGTAGTAATGAATATTGCGCATTAATATACCAAAATATTTCAAATCAAATCCGAACTACTTTCCGTACATGTATAACCAACTTGGGCCTGTAATACTAACAGATGTGTAGGCATTGAATATTCAGTTTATTTAGACATACTTTAATGTAATATAATTTAATATAATATAATATTAGAGTATTATGCACTTGACGGACATTTAAGGCTAGAGAATTTGGTCCCTTTAGGGATGGAAAACCTTTAATCGGCCAAGCTTATCCCTGGGCGCAGCCATTGCTACGGACCATAACTCTTGTCAAGTAACGATAATTTATGACTTCTGATTTCCTAGCGACAAGGACTGGAATCAAGGGCAGAGAACCAGAGCTACTCTGAGAATTGCCGAGATCGACGCAATATCGGTTAAAATCGGAACTTTTACCGGAATTGCTTTGTAAAACATTTAAATCCTTCAGTGATTTAAATAAATAAAACAAATAAATTTGTGGTTCAGTGTTCATTATTTTTAAAAGTTGTCCTCTCTTATTTTAAAGCACATCTGCACCGTTCTATCCATGCGCGAATCACGTGGTCTAGGTGATCACTTGACATGCTCTGAAGCAGTGTGTTTATAGACGCAGAAATATTTTTTCCGAGTATTATATTTCTTACCAAGCAAGTTAATTTTATAGCGAAAACAACCTAATAAAATTTACAAATAAGACAACAATGTTACCTTCAAGCAGCAGATTATTAATACCCTATGACGGTTTTTCAAGTGCTACTTATTTTTACAAATCTTTACGAGTTTTAAAATTCCGTAATTTTTGAACGCGCAAATATCACAGAAGTAAAGAAAAAAAAAAGAAAACAAAGCTTCGCCTAAATTTTAACATCGTATGTATGAGAGTTTTGCTATAATTGCCATTTAGCTAAGTACTTGAGGGCTATGGAATGAGTATTGTATGGTACTTTTTAGCACTTAAAAATAGATCATCAGTTAGGATCAAACATTTTCAAGTAAAATCTTAATTAACTTGCATAATGAAGGATAGGGAAATAACGAACAGTATTCAATATCAAAGTACAGTAAACAATACAAAATAGAAGCAGAGCAAACAAGGACCTTTAAACATTAAAAGTGGCATTGAGAAGTGAGCATCCGTGTCGACCGGTCACAGCCGCCTTGTGCCCCCTGTCACGATCGGGAAACATAAGAAAAAATCCGTCGTCAATTCAGTGTATGAATAATGGTCTAACAATTAGTACGGTAACAGTCAGTCAGCATGTGACTCAAAGATAAATTGTATTTGCTGACAAGATCATTGTGTCTACCATAGAATTTACGAAAGGATAACTTCAAACGAGACTGTTGATATTCTTCTTTGTCTATAATATACCTCGTTGTAGATATTGTTCATGCAAAGAGCATGTTTTTGCTCATCGAATCAACTGAGATTTATATAAATTCCCTACGCATGTCATGAAGGTATACTGCTGCATAAGTAAGGGAAGTTGAGAGCCTGAAAGAAAAGTTAAAGTCATTGCGTTTTTCATAGAGCTTGGTTAGAGTACCATTAACATCTTTTTCAAGTAAAAACTCCAAGTATGAAACAGACTCTGTGGTATTTTTTTTTAATCTCAAGTTCACCAGGATGTATCCTATCGACTTAGAAATAGAAATTACCATTTTTGATTGACAATACGCCGTGGATATATCTATGTTGAGTTGAAGGCCAAACAAGTGTTTTCTTCTTTTCATGCATAAGATTTTGCACAAATTCTTCTTGATATGAATACAAAAATAGGTTTGCTTACAACAGTTAATACTTATGGGAATTTCAATAGATTGTTGGAAGACCTGGTCTACTAAAACCGCATAGATATTGTTAATAAGAAACATAAGCATCTTTTTGCTGTTAACTTCAGAGCACTTGCGTATGCAATCAGAATGTGTTTACAATTTTTAAATGAACAGGTAAGTACTTTTACTAGTTCCATTTTTATTTAAAAATGCAGCTGTCAATGATATCAAAAAGCTTGGAATTAAATTTATCATGGGGAATGGTTCTGTTTAAGTTCTCAAACACCGTCAATTACCTGGTTACTCTTACATGTACGAGACACATCATTTTTGTAAATGAATCAATAATCACATGTTTTCAAGTACTCTAGTTATACTGTATTTTATTGTACATATTTCATAATTGTATCCTGTAGTTCAGTTTCAGAGAATAAACTCTTGATTGATTGATTGATTGATTGATTGATTGAGTAAGAGATATCTATATACTGATTTTTTTAATATTAAGGATCCTACTGTGTCTTTGGCAGAAAATTTGAATTGTAACTGTGGCGGAGAACATTTAACTGTGCTGAACCAATTGGTATATAGGAAACAGAAAGATAAATATTTTTACCCTCAACATTTATGAATTCAAAGGATAATATCCTATATATTCTTTAATGGTTTACACAAATAATTTGACTTTTCAGAAATGTAACTTCATTAATGGACAAAGAAATCGAGGACGTCTTCAAAAAGTGAACACATCAATAACCATGTGTTATTATTTCATCACAACAAATAATTTTCATGAAGACTATAACAACAATCAAAAAGCAGAAACAATAAGAATCATTACATATCAATAAGGCATTCATTTTGTTTGTCAATAATTAGCATGATTTTAACAACTTTATTTCTTATTTCAATGTTGTTGTGTGTGCATTGAGCTCTTTAAAGATTCTTGTAAAAAATCGAACATTTGTAAAGTAATTCAATGTTCTTGAAACAAATTTTAAACTTGTTTTTTGAATTTGTACACATTT